TTCAGGCAAAGAGCAAAGATTCATTTAAAAGAAAGCTAAATAAAGACATGGAGGGGTAAGAAAATGATTCTTATAGAGTCACACCAACTTGTATAGATGGGTTGAGCAGACTGGTGTTGTACACACTACTATATTATACAATCCTAAACCAATTGAGGAGGTAAAGGTGGCTATCAGACTGTTTGCCTGGTGCCATTTGGATTAGCAGGCTTAGAGGTTGTGTTCAAAAACAGAAATCGATTAGAAACTGAACTGGGCCAGCGATATAAATACTATTGCTACAACAGGAAGTCAGCAGTTGAGAATGCGAAAGCCATTAACTCAACCCTCAACTCCTCAAATCCTCAACTCTTCAACTCCTCAAAGCCCACCATCTACAAGGCACAAGTCACACATGTGGTGGGATACTCCTCACTTGCCTGGATGACTGCAGCTCTGACTCTCAAGAAGCTCAAAACCATCCAGGACAAAGCAGCTTGTTTAACTGGCACCAAGTCCATAAACATACACTCCCTTCACCATTGAATATACTGAACACAAGACGCACTGCAGCAATTCCAGAGGCTGGTCGTGGCCCACATCAACTTGAGTCTCCCAGCCTGGCTCGATCTCCTGCAATTTGCCTACCGACGCAACAGGTCCACAGCGGACCTAGTCCTGCACTCATCCCTGGAACATCTGGACAACAAGGATACCTACATCAGACTCCTGCTCATCAACTACAGCTCCGCCTTCAACACCATTATCCCCTCCACACTGATTTCAAAACTCTGAGACCTAGGTCTTTGCTCTGCCCTCTGCAACTGAATCCTCAGCTTCCTGACCCATAGACTGCAGATAGTCGACTGCACCTCCTCCACGATAACACTCAGCACTTGAGACCCCAAAGATGCATTCTCAACCCCCTATTGTACTCCCCGTACACCCATGACTGTGTTGACAAATTCTGAACAAATGCTACCTACAAGTTTGCTGACAACACCACTGTGGTAGGACAGATATCAAACAACGAAGAGGCAAAATATAGAGAGGAGATAGAGGGCTTGGCGACATGGTGCAATGATAGTAACCCCTCTCTCAATGTCAGCAAAACAAAAGAAAGGATCATTGACTTCAGAAAGAAAGGAAGAGGACACACCCCCATCTACATCAACGGAGCTGAGGTTGAGAGGGTTGACAGTGTCAAGTTCCGAGGAGTGATGATAACCGACAATCTGTCCTGGATTTCCCACATATATGCGATGATCAAGAAGGCACAACAATGCCACTTCTTCCTCAGGCGGCTTGGGAAATTTGGCACATCCATAAGGTCCCTCACCACCTTCTAGAGATGTACCATTGAAAGCGTACTGTCCTGGTGCATAACAGCCTGGTACGGAAACAACTCTGCCCCAGACTATAAGAAACTACAGAAGGTGTTGTGCACAGCCCAGACCCTCACGGAAGCCAGCCTTCCATCCATGGACTTGTTGCTGCAGAAAGGCTGCCAACATCATCAAAAACCTATCCCAATCCTGCAACCACTTCCACCAGGCAGAAGTTACAGAAGCTTGAACACACGCACCTGCTGTTATTAGACTGATGAATGGACTCTCTAGCTTCAAATAACGCTGACCTTGTTAATGTTGATCTTGCTGAGCACACGTCCTGTACGTTGTAACCTGTATGCCTTACTTCATCCAAGATTTTTTTTCTCCCTATGATCTGTATGTACTTGCTTGCTATGATCTGCCTGTACTGCTCGCAGCCAAAGCTTTTCACTGTACTTGGGTACATGTGACAATAAATCAAACCAAATCAAATCAAATCAAATCAATTCACCAAGGCTCTTTCAACAACACCTTCCAAAATTCATGACTTACACCACAGAGAAGGACAAAGGTTTCAGATATATGGGAATAACACCAACTATAATTTTATGGGATGGAGACTGGATGGATACTAGGCAAAGTGGCACTGAGAAGATGATCAACCATGATAGGGAATGGTGAGGCAAGCTTGATGGACTGAATGGTTTACTCTTGTTCTTCTGTCTCCACATGCCCCTCCAAGCCACCCAGCATTCTTGCAACTATACCACTGTCCCTTCAGAATTCTGGGACTTCCTCCCTGACACCACTATCCATGTAGCCTGTAGCAGTTCAAGAAGGCAGCTCACCACCACTTTCTCAAGGGCAATTAGACATGGGAAACAAATGCTGGCCTAGCTGGCAATGCCCACATATATGCGAAAGAAAAGCTAAGACAGCAAGCTAAATGGTACATCCAGTTAAGTCTCCAAAGCACATAGCCCTCTTCTAGAATATCTTCTTGTGGAACATTAAATAATCCTTTGTAATAACTGGTTAGAATCAAAGCAGTCTCCCACCATCAGAAAAACAGTTTAAGACGCAGGACAACCTTCCTTGTTGAACTCTATGGAAGACTGAAAGTTAATGTTCTTCTTTTGGTGCATCGGTAATGCTGGAAAATCACTCAGGGATGAATATAATTCCAGCTTTAATTTCATTTTGTGTAAGTCCTTAAAAAATCAACTTCAGTTGAAAGCTTCTCCGTTATCATTAATCATATATTCGCAGCACGGAAAGATTTGATGGAGTGAAGTACGGGGCATAACATTATGGGGAGGGGGTGGTGTGGTTTGTGTATACTAGCTGGGGGAGGGGTGTGTGACATCTCAGTACATCCACCACCACAAATCCACACCCAGTCCCGAAACATGTAATATGCATCTCATTGTAAAACGGTGGTCGAGAAAGAAAGCAAAAGAAAAGAAAGACTTCCACTTATAAAGCACCTTTCACAATTTCATATCTCTCAGTAGTTTACAGCCAATGAAGTATTTTTTGGTGTGTCGGGACAGTGTTACTGTCGGAAACAAAGTAGCCAATTTGTGAACAAACCCTACAAACTGCAACGTGACAATGATTACTTCATCGGTTTTAGTGATGTTGTTTGGGGGATTCTAGAATGTTCTTCTTCGAAGCGTGCCTGTGTAACACTCAGGTACATTTCCAAGAGCTGATGGGAACTCAGCTTAATGTCCTGTCCAAAAGGCGGCATCTTCAACAGTCACAGCCAACCCTCAGTGTTGTACTAGACTGACAAATCACATCATCTGCTCAAGTTTCCAGAGGGCGTGGGCTTGAACTTTCTGATTAACAACGCACTACCAACTGAGTGATAGCCAACACAAAAAATGTTGTAATTCAATAAAATGATGAAATAATTTTTAGGGCACAATTATGTAGTTCTGCTTTCTTCTTGCATCTGCAAAATACGAGATGAGTAACCCAGCAGTCAGATCTCTATTACTAATCTTGAATGCATTAAAGTGATTGAGTTGCCTTCAGTTTATTTTAAGCATATCGCAGGCAACATGGTTCCCTTCCCTAAAGGACTTTAGTGAGTGAGATACGTGTTCATAACAGTTATCAGTAGTTCCTAATTATCATTAGACTAGATTATCCATTTTTAATTCTGGATTTATTAAAATAATTCAAATTTCACCATCTACCACAGTGGTGTTTGAGTTCCTTGCTCCCAGGGCATTAATTGGGGGCAAGGGTTCACTGGATTACTAGTCCAGTGACATAACTACTATGCCTTCCCTTCCCTAGCAGGATAGCTCCTGTCCACCTAAGCTTGGGTGAAAATATTTCACTGAGTGTAAGGCAGAATTTACTGGGTGGCACAGTGGCTCAGTGGTTAGCACTGCTGCCTCACAGCGCCAGGGACCTGGGTTTGATTCCACCCTGGGTTTCACTGGTGGCTGTCAGTGTGGAGTTTGCACATTCTCCTCATGTCTGTGTGAGTTTCTGTTGGTTTCCTCCCACAGTCCAAAAATGTGCAAGTCAGGTGGGTTAGCCATTGGAAATGCAAGGTTACAGGTCAGGGTGATGAAGGAGTGCTGGATCTGGGTGGGATGTTCTTTGCAGACTGAATAGGCCAAATGGTCTCTTTCCACACTGTAGGGATTATGGAACCTTGTTTAGCAAATAAGATTCATTCCCAAAGGTTACTTTCAAAAACACTTCACTGGAATTGATTTTAAGTGGGTGCAAATATTCTTAAGAAAGTTCGGAAAGAACTGTGGATCCTGGAAATCAGAATCCAAAACGTAAATTGCTGGAAAAAGTCAGCAGGTCTGGCAGCATCTGTAGAGAGAAAGCAGAGTTTATGTTTCAAGTCCAGTGACCCTTCTTCAGAACTTCTTCCAGCAATTTTGGTTTTTGTTTCTTAAGAAAGTACCAGGGCAGTTCTGCAAACTCATGTCTGTAGCTAGTATAGCACAGAAAATGCAGACTATTATGTCCGTAGAAGTCTGATAGAAGCTAATGAAACAGTAACTTTCAAAAGTCATATGCTCAAAAAGGAAAGAAAATTGAAGAATTCTGAGGAAAGATGCATGAAATGGGACTTCTTCAATGAGCTGACACAGACAGGAAAGGCTGAATGCTCCCCTTCTGAGCTGTAAGATTCGATTACTTTGTGGCTCTTAAAAATGATTCATACACAGAAATAAACCAGCATTTACTGCCCATTACAGAAAACTTCCCAGTGTTCTTGTCTGCAATCAGTTGGGATGGTTAATTCATAGAATCCCTACAGTGTGGAAACAGGCCCTTTGGCCCAACAAGTCCACACTGACCATCAGAGCATTCCTCCCAGACCCATCCCCCACCTAATCTATACATCCCTCAACACTATGGGCAATTTAGCATGGCCAATCCACTTAGCCTGCACATCTTTGGACTGTGGGAGGAAACCCACACAGACACAGGAAGAATGTGCAAACTCCACACAGACAGTCGCCCAAGGGCAGAATTGAACCTGGGTCCCTGGTGCTGTGAGGCAGCAGTGCTAACCACTGAGCCACTGTGCCACCCCAAATTCTCTCCATTAGGTTCAAATAGTGAGGATGGAATTGTCCTGTGATTAATTATGTTCAAGATTCAGTCACAGTTCTTGCTAAAGCAGCTATTAGGGTGGGTACTTACAATCGGGCTTGCATTGATGTAGTCCGAATTTGAATGACTCGATTCAACTTTCAATGTTATTCTGGAGTGATCATCTGTGGAAAGAAAAATTCAAATACATCAGAAGAAAGGAGGGATTATTACTATTATATAATTTCTACTCCCTTTCCTTGAATGTTCATCTTCATTTCTTCCTTTCTCACCAGCAGAGATTCGTCTGGAGGTCAGTTTGACAGGATCTGGCTATCTAAGGCCTGACTCAAAGCCAGTGTTTTCACATTTGTCTGGATAGTGGGTACTGTACCAAATGACCATGCCCAATTACATCCTCCCGTATGTATAGTAGATTTCACTGGGTCATAATCAGAAGTGTTAATCAGAGTTTGGTGTATTTGTTTTTAATAGCAGAACAGAGACATTGAGTCAATGTTTGTTTTGAACTATTTTGCATACTGTTTGAGTATCAAGACATTCCTGACTGTCACTTTTCATGCAATTACTTTTTTCTGCTCCCTTTTCTGCCCTATGTGACTCTAAACTCTAAACGTCTCATTCACTTGAGAGAGATGGTGAGGTTTTTTTTCAGCAAAATTCCAGTAATATCTTTTTAAGGAAGAAATTCTGCCATCCTTACCTGGTCTAGATGATGCAATGTGGTTGACTCTTAATTGTCCTCTGAAAGGATCTAACAAATTATTCAGGTCAATTAGAGATGGATAACTAATGCAAATAATGCCCACATTTTGTGAAAGAATTAAAAAAGGGGCATTGTCAAATTGGTGGGCTCTGGCTATTGGAGTGACACAAGGATCCGTGCTGAGGTCTCAGCTCTTCATATATTTATCTTCATTTCTTAGTTGAAGAAATTATGAGTGTGTATCTAAGTTTGCAGACAAAGCTGGGTGGGAATGTAAGCTGTAAGGAAGACACAAAGAGACGAGCGAGAAATATTGACAGGTTAAGTCAATGGGAAAAATAGTTAACTATACATAACGTGAGAAAGTGTGAGATTGTGCATTTTGGTTTTATGAGTAGAAAAGTAGGACTGTTTTTTAAAGGCATGGAATTTGGAAATGTTGATGTCAAGAGGATTTTGCATCTGTTTATACAAGGAACACATCACATTAGCGCATGGGTACAGTAAGCAATCAGGAAGGAACATGGCATGTTGACCTTTTTTTGCAAGCTGATTGAAATACTAAGTCTTGTTAAGTATCTACAGGACTTTGATGAGACCACACCTGGAATGCTACGTGCAGTTGGGTCTCCATATTTAGGGAAGGATATATACACACAAATATATGAATGTGAACCATGAGTAGACCAATCAGTTCTTTGAGCTTCATGGTTAACCTGATCATTCCACATTCCTGTCTATTGCCAATAACTTTTCCTCCCCTTGCTTACCAAGAATCTATCTACTTCTCCCCGAAAAATATTCAAAGACTAATTCCAAGTTTCTTAAGAAACTGAGTTCCAAAGATGGGCAATCCTGTGTGAGAAATAAATTCTCTTCATCTCTGTCTTAAATGTGTGACCACTTTTGTTTAAACAGTGACTCCTAGTTCTAGATTTCTCCCACAAGAAAAAAAAACATTCTTTCTACTTGTACACTGTCAAGACTGCCCAAGACTTAATATGTTTCAACAAAGTTGCCTTTTGTTCTTCTAAACTGTAGCAGATGCAAGCCAGTGTGTCCAACTTTGGCTCATAACCCTTTCATTTGAGATGTTAGCATAGTAAGCCTTTTTTGAACCACCTCCAAAAGCATTTACATCTTTTCTTAAAGAAGAAGAGCCATTCTGTACAGAGTACTCTAGATGTGGTCTCACCATTACTCTGTTTAACTAGAGCATAACCTCCCTACTTTTGAATTCAATTCTCCTTGCCATAAATGATAACATTCCCTTCCCTTTCTTAACTACTTGTATTGGAGGCAGTGCAGAGAGGGTTCACCAGATTGGTGGCTGGGATGAGAAGGCTGTCCTCTGATGAAGGCTGACTGAAGGGTACAAGATTTGGAAAGGGTGCACAGGACAGATTCTGAGCAATAGCTTCCCCTGGCTTAGGAATCTAGGGCATGTGGACCAGTCTCAGAATAAAGGTCTTTTCATTTATGGCTAAAACGAGAAGAAATTTCTTCACTCAAAGGCTTCTGAATCTCTGGAATTCTTGACCCCATCACTGCGTACAAGTAAGGTTGGGATTGACATATCTTTGGCCTCTTGGGGAATCAAGGCATTTGGGAACAATACAGGAAGGTGAAGCTAAAGCTGATGATGAGTGACAATCACATTGTAGTGTGCAGACTCAATGCGCGCTATGGCCTGCTCTTGTTCCTATTTCCTACATATCTTAAACAGTTGAGGCTCAGTTTAGTTTGTATATGACCAACTGGTAATGGGATGCTAAATAGAATCAAAAAGACTCACAGTATCCTTGCTGGCTTGTTGTCAATGATGTGGTTGCTGCCACTTTGGAAAGGTCATAAGACTAGGCACCTGAAGCACATGCTTAAACCTCAACTGCCATCTTCGATTGGAAATAGACTAAGAGTGTACACTGTTTATATTCAAACCAACTCCATAGGGGAATGTGGGGAGACACGGAAGAGGTCCAGTTGAGGTGTGTTTGACATTATTCCCGAGTGGCTAGCTGGAGTATACCTTGTGACATCACCAAAATCATTGTTGTTGCTGCCTTACAAATTCCCCCACCGGGTTATTTCTTTCATCAGTGCCTCTCCTCCATCTTGGATGCACCACTCATCCCCAAACTATGCCATTAAAACCCTCAATCCATGAATCCATCACTTAACTTTCTACCAGTCGGAATGACCAATATATTTCAGAGGGACTGCCTCGGGGTGTCTTCCGTGACAACAAACTCGTGGCTCGCAATTAATGCCGATTCTTTACTTTCAATGCAGGAATCCAGGCTCTCTGTGGAGAAATGATCATGGTGGCATAATGTGACCCTGATACCACTAACCCGGGAACCTTGGGCTGAAGGCATTGGCAAACTGTGCAAGCCTCTGTGTTGAACAGAGTGAGCCCAACTCTTGACCATAAGCGATCTGAACAATTTGTGCACTGCACTGGATGACATGTAATTTTATTTAATATTGATGTAAATGAGTTAGTTCCTTTCAATTTACTTGGACAAACTGCAGCTGCTTCACTTCCCAAGTAATCATGGACACCACAATCTCAGGCAGAAGAGAGGAGCTTTACTGCTCTTGGCTGTGGAAGTGGAGTAAAGAAGAATTCCAGTGACTGAAACAACGTTGATTAAATGCAGTGTTAATTGATTGCAAGGAATGCCATGTTAATAACATATCAGTTTAAAGAGTTTGTTTCATACTAAAACAATACTGGGACATTCAATTGCAAAACATAGAGAAAAGAATGACCAGTTGGAAAATAGTGTTGCTACTCTTTACTGATATGCATAGGCCTCCTGGTATGCACAGAATAACTGCTTCCTTATTGCAAATGTGCTATGTGTAAAACATTAATACCATCACTTCCAAGAAGTATAGATTTGACTCTAGACTTCAATGAGAAATTGCATTTGAAAGAAAATCTCTTTGGAGCCTTTCCTCCTCTTCAGAATGGTCTTAATGTTTAAGTTAATTTATTTTAAATGCAACTTAAGAATTGAGAGTGGAGAGGCAATTATTCCAGGGAATGATGGCACTCAAATGAGGGAGTACTGTATTGTTGTAGCGCCTATTTTTAGGATGTGACATTGACCTGAGGCCCTGTCTGAGCTCTCAGGTAGATGTAAAAGATCCCACTGCACTAAAGAAAGGACAGCACTAAGTTCTCTCCAGTAGCTAGACCAATGTTTATCCACTAACCACCATCACTAAAAGCAGATTATCTGGTCATTGCAATGTTGCTATTTGTAAACTTTTGCTATATACAAGTTGGCTGCTGCATTTCCTATATTCCAGCAGTCAGCACACTTCAAAAGTACTTAATTCTCTGTAAGGTGCTTTGGGAAGTCCTAAGGACATGAAAGATGCTATAAGTGAGCAACACTATTTTTTTAAACACAGTTCTGAGGAAGGGTCACCGGACCCAAAACGTTAACTCTGTTTTCTCCTTCACAGATGCTGCCAGACTTGCTGAACTTTTCCAGAAACTTTGTTTTTGTTTCTGATTTACAGCATCCGCAGTCTTTCGGTTTTTACTCTTTTTTTGAAACTGTTCCCATGTTGCACCTCATTACTGTTGCACTATGTTAGATGTAATAATGCTCCATGAAATGTCATATGATCTCCTGTGGAGGCACCAAGTGGAGGACAGGCACATTCCTAAGGGGAAATGGTGAAGCAATTATTCCATGCCAGGGACACCTCCCAGCAGATAACTACAAAGTCTCTCTGGCATTGGCCTCAGGGTTGGTTTGCTGTCTGCCTTCTAATCCAGCTAACACTAATTACTGTAAGGAAACTCAGGGGGGGGTGCCTGAAGACAGGAAATGACATTAAATGAATTCATGGGATTTCATTTTTAACAATCAGTTAAAGCCCAGAAATGAACATAAAAGTATGTGAATTGAGAATAGGCCATTCGGGCCATCGTGCCTGTTCTACCATGCAGGGCTGATCTGATCATGGCCTCAATTTACCTGTCTGCCCCCAATAACTTTTGATTTCCTTGTTAGTCAAGAATCTATCTGTTTGTCTCCACCGCTTTCTGGGGAAGAGAATTCGGCAGACTAATAACCTTCTGACAGAACAATTACTTTTTATTTCTGTCTTATATGGGAGGCCACTTAAACATTTCATTAAGATCATCTCTCAATATTCTGTGTGCCAATACATCCAGGTTCAGCCTTCCCTACCTTTTGTCATAAGATAACCCCTCATCCCAGGTATCAGTTGTGTGAACCTTCTCTAAACTACTTCTAACACATTTACATCCTTTCTTAAATACCCAGTCCAACTTATGTCCTCTTCACAACTCTCTTTACAACTGACTTCACTATCTAACTTTTGTCATCAGCAAATTTAGCAGCCAGGCATTTGGTCCCTTCATATAAGTCTTTCAGTTAAATTGTATATAGTTGTGGCAGCAGCACTGATCCCTCATCACATCATGTCAAGCGAAAAATGATTCATTTATGCCTACCCTCTATTTCCTATCAGCTACATAGTCGTTGATCCATGCAACATGTCACCCCCTACGTCATTTGTACAACTTTGATGTGGCATCTTATTAAATGCATTTTGCAAATCGAAATACAGCAAATCCATGGTTTCCCTTTTACCAATGTTACTTCCTCAAAGAACTCGCCTAAATTAGTCAAGCATGATTTCCCTTTCATAAAGGTTGACTCTGCCAGACTACAATAGATTTTCTTACATACCTGCTAAATCCTCCTTGATGATAGATTCCAGCATTTTCCCTATGACAGATGTTAAGCTCTCAGCAGTTTCCTGCCCTCTGACTCCCTCCTTTCTTGAAACAGTGGTTACATTTGCTTTTTCTAATCCCTTGGAATCTTTCCAGAATCTGAAAAACTTTGGCAAATTAAAACCAATGCATCGGCTATCCCAGCGGTCACTTCTTTTAAGACCCTAGGGTGACGTCCTTCAGGACCTGGGGGGATGTCAGCTTTTAGTTCAAGCAGTTTTCTCCGTATACTTTCCCTGGTGATTGTAATTGCGATGTTTTTCCCTCCCTTTCAATCCCTAATGCATAATTATTTCTGGGTTAAAAACCAAAAGAACCATGGATGCAGTTTCTGGGTTATTTGTACCCACTATAGTGACGACAGTGCAAAAAATTTGTTCAATTCAAATTATCTTAGATTAGAATATGCAGAATCCAGATGAGTGGGGATAAGAAATAACAAAGTGAAGGAAACACTGGTGGGAGTAGTCTACATGCCCCTAACAGTAGCTATACTGTAGGACAGAGAAAAGAAAGTGAGGACATGTAACAAAGGCAGTACATTAATCATGGATGATTTAATCTTCATGGAGATCGGGAAAATCAAATTATCAGACATAACCACGAAAAGAAATTATAGGGTACATTCAGGTCAATTTCCCAGAACAATAAGTTGTGGATCTAACCAGGGATCTGGTAATTGGTGATGAGGCAAATGTAACACATTAGCCAACAGGAAATAGTGACCACAACATGGTAGAATTTGGTATTCAGTTTGAGAGTGGGAAATTTGTGTTGGAAAGAACTGTGCAAAACTTAAATACAGGCAATTATAAAGGAATGAGGGGTGGGTTGGCTGGAGTGGACAGGGAAAAGAAATTAGCAAATAAGATAGTTGATTAACAATGACAGATATTTAAGAAAATAGTACTCACAACAAACATATACTCCAATGAGGAAGAAGGATTTCAGGAAGGAGATAAATTGACTATGGTTAACCAAAGAAGTTAAGGATGGTATCAAATTGAAAGCAACAAATCATACCATGTGGCAAAAGTTAGTAGTTAACCAGAGGATTGTGAAAAATTTGAAAGCCAACAAAAGATGATCAAAAAAAAGGGAGAGCATAAAGTGAGGCTTAGCAAGTAAAATAAACAAGCAAGTAATATAAAAATGGACACTAAGAGCTTTATTCAATATATAAAAAGGAAGAGAGAGGCCAATGTGAACATAGGCCTCTTAGATAATGAGGCTGGGAACTAATAATGAGGAACCAGGAAATGGCAGAAGATTTGAATAAATACTTTGCATCAGTCTTCAAGGTAGAGGACTTTAATAGCATTCCAAAAATACTAAACTGAGTGGAAAAAGTGAGGGGGGATTGGAAATAAACATAATAACTAACACTAGAGGATATACATTAGAGAAACTATCAAGGCTAAAGTCCCCTGGATCTCATGGGTTGCATCCTTGGAAATTAAAGACAGTGGCTACGATCTAGTGAATAATCTTCCAAGAATCCCTAGATTCTGGACAGGTCCCAGGTGATTAGAAAACCTCCAATATAATACAAATATTCCAAGAGGGAGGCAGAGAAGAAACAGGTAACTGTAGGCCAGTTAGATTAACATTGGGAAAATGTTAGAGTCTATTATAAAGAATGTAATAGCAGAGCATTTAGAGATACATAACATAATCAAATGAAGTATGGCTTCATGAAGATGAAATCATTCCTGACAAGTTCTTCACAGCTCTTTGAGGAGGTAACAAGCAAGGTAGATAAAGGGGAACTAGTAGCTGTGATACACTTGGATTTCCAAAAAATTTAACACCATACCATATATGAGAGTACATGGTGTTGGGGTGGTACGGATACAGGATTTGCTAACAGATAGAAGGTAGACAGTTGGAATAAAAATGGCAACAAGTAAGAAGTGGAATGCCACAGGAATCAGAGATAAATTAATGACTCAAATGAGGAAAATGTATGTCCTAAAGCCAATTTATGGATGACACAAAAATAGATGGGAAGGCTAGCAGTGAGGATAACATTAAGAGTCCACAGAGAGATTGAGGCTAAGTGAGTGTGCAAAAACTTAGCAGATGGAATATAATGTGGGAAAATCTGTGGTTATGCACTTTGGCAGGAAGAACAGAGGAAATTTCTAACAATTACATCAAGAATAATTGCAGAAATATGCAGCACGGGGAGATTTTGAGGTCCTTGTGCATAAATTGCAAAAAACTAGTACCTAAGTTCAGCAGCTAATATGGAAGGCAAATGGAATGTTGGCCTTCATTACAAAGGGAATGGAGTTTAAAAGTAGGGAAGCTTGCTAGAACTATATAAAGCACGAGTCAAACAACACCTAGAATATTTTGAACAGTTTTGGTGTTCTTTACCAAGGAGAGATATAAGGAAAGTCAGTTGAGAAAGTTCACTAAATTAATTATGAGTATCAATGGCCTGTCTTATAAGGAAAAGTTAAATAGGTTGTGCCTGTACACATTGGAATTTAGAAGAATGATAGGTGACTTTCTTGAAATATACAAGATGCCTAGTGGGCTGTAAGGATAGATGTGGAGAGGTTGTTTCCCCTTCTGGGATAATCTAGGAATGAGGGTTTAATCTCAGAATTAGGGGTCATGCATTTAAGAAAGATGAGGAGGCATTATTTCTCTCAGAGAGTAGTGAATCTGTGGAATTCTTGACCACATAGGGCTGTCAAGGTTGAGTCAATCAGTATATGCAAAGCTGAGACAGACAGATTTTTAATCAATAGGTGAATCAAAGGTTGTAGGGGAAAGGAAGTAAAGTGGAGTTGAGGGTTATCAAATCAGCCATGATCTCATTCAATGGTGGAGCAGACTGAATGGGCTGAATGGCCTACTTCTGCCCCGATAGCATCAGATGCAATGTATGAAGATCTTCAATGTTAGAACATTTTAACATTTACATCATACAATCATTGTGTATGATCAACAAGGTCTTCATGGTTGGATTAAGATGCTTGGGATCCACGGTCATTTGGTTGCGTGGATTCAGAATTGGCTTGCCCATAGAAGACAGAGGGTATTGGTGGAAGGGTGTTTTATCAGGTTGGAGGTCCTTGACTAGTGATGTTCCATAGGGATCCATACTGGGACCTCTGCTGTTTGTGATATATATAAATGACTTGGATGGAAATGTAGCTGGGTGGGTTAGTAAGTTTGCAGATGATACAAAGATCAGTGGAGTTGTCGATAGTGTAGAAGGTTGTCAAAGGATACAGTGGGCTGTAAATCAGTTGCAGATATGGGTGGAGAAATGGCAGATGGAGTTTAATCTGGGTAAATGTGAGGTGCTGCACTTTGGGAGATCAAATGTTAAGGAAAAGTGTACAGTTAACAGCAGGACCCTGAGCAGCATCGATGTACAGAAGGATCTTGGGGTTCAAGTCCATGCTCCCTGAAAGCAGCCACACAAGTAGATAGGATGGCAAAGAAGGTGAATGGCATGCTTGCCTTCATTGGTCAGGGATTGAGTACAAGCATCAAGATGTCATGTTGCAGCTTCATAAGACTTTGGTTAGGCCACATTTAGAACATTATGTTCAATTCTGGTCACCACATTACAGGAAGGATGTGATGACTTTGGAGAGGGTGCAAAGAGGTTTACAAGGATGCTGCCTGGATTAGAGGGTATGAGCTATAAGGAGAGGCTAGAAGCACTCAGGTTGTTTTCTCTGGAGTGGCACAGGCTGAGGGGAGACTTAAAAGAAGTCTATAAAATTATGAGATGCATAGTTAGGGTTGACAGTCTGAATCATTTTTCCAGAGTTGAATACTAGGGGGCATGCACTTAAAGTGAGAGGGGGCAAGTTCAAAGGAGATGTGAGGGGCAAGTCTTTTAAAGAGATAGTGGTAGGAGTCTGGAATGCACTGCCAGGGGTAGTGGTGGAGGCAGATATGATGGGGGCATTTAAGGGAATTTCAGGAAGGCACATGAATATGCAAGGAATGAAGGGATATGGACCAAAGACAGGCAGAAGGGATTAGTTTCATTTGGTGTCATGTTTGGCACAACATTGTGGGCTGAAGGGCCCGTTCCTGTAACGTACAATTCTATGTTCAATGTTCTATGTCCTAATGTTCTTTTACATGCAGATAGAAGTAAAAGAACATGGCAGACACAATGCAAAGGAACTAAGAAGCGAGAATGGTAGAGAAAGGCAAAAGGGAAGGTCTTGAAGCTTTTCAATGTAGTGAACTGGATATTAGAGGGAAGTAGAAAGGGTGTGCTAAAAAAAACAGAAGAGTGATGTTTAATATAAGCGATAACAAGGTGTAGAGCTGGATGAACAGACCTGAAATGTCAGCTTTCCTGCTCCCCTGATGCTGTTTGGTCTGCTGTGTTCATCCAGCTCTACACCTTGTTATCTCAGATTCTCCAGCATCAGCAGTTCCTACTATCTCTGTTTAATAAAAGGCATGTTTTGTAACTCTGTGATACTTTGCAATGCTTGGAACAATTATTCAAGGAAACTTTCCTGTGTTTGCTCATTATCATGTCCTTTATCTTCTGTGTTTACAAATTTAGCTACTAATATTCAAAAAAATAAATCTTCCTGCCACTATGTTACGTTAGGATGAAAGAGATGAACGTACATGGCACGACCAGCTGAGATCTGTTCTTCTTTTCATTCTCCTCCCTCTCTGCAATGCTGCTGGTGTTTGGTTCAGCCTGGTAGGCAGCCAGCGCTTCCCATTCTTTCTCCAGTCGGTTCTTGTTCCTCAGATGGTCCTCCATATAAGACTAAAATACAGTAGAGAATGCAAACATGAAACTTCAAGCACTATTCCATCAGTTTCAATGCATCACAGTTATACTGTAAAACACATTTGAGATGAATGAACATTGGCACCACACAACATCTATACAATTTATTTCCCAACATTTTTCATAATTTGTGTGGGATTTTTCCCAGCTGCAGTGAAGTTCTGCAGGACTTATTGAAAAAAGTTGGTGTTTTTCTATTGGATCCAGCAGGATTTATTCTAAAACACACTGCCTTAAATTTTATCATGGAGTGTTTTGTGTGAGAGCTTAACATGACAGCCTTGAATTTCTCTCTTTGCAATTCCAGCCTCAGTATTCATCTAAAAAATTTTCCATTGGATTCAAGAAGATTTTCTTTTCCCCAAAGTTCATGGGATTCACTGACATTTACTTTGAAAAGCCTACATGTGACAAAGGATAAGATTTTTTTCACTTCAATTTTATTTTGGTGTTGGTTCTTTCCTGTGTGCAATGTTAACCTACTTTCTGTCATAAAGGAAGCTCATTCTGATGCAAGTGTCACTAAGTCAGTGGTTCTGGTTTGATTGGCTTCCAGCAAAGACAACAAGTCATTCAATTCAATACAAAGTCTCTGAGTTGTTCAAATATATTTTTTTGATGAAAATCTTTCTTGAACTCAAACGACAGCTTTTCAGAATACTGAATCCCTGTCATTAATTTGAATGGAAATTATCGCTCAGTCTTTTTGGGTCAAAATTCTGGAACTTCCTCCAGACCAAATGGCATTGTGGGTCTATCTACAGCACATGGACTACAGCGGTTCAAGGAGGCAGCTCACCACCACCTTCTAAAAGGCAACTCAGATCAAGCAATAAATGCTGGCCTAGCCAGTGATGCCCAGATCCCATAAGAGAATGAATAAAAAAAACCTGTTGAAGATACATAGTCAAGCTGGATAATTCCTGAAGATGGTAGGTGCAATAAAAGAAAAGCCTGTTGATAAATATACTGCATGTAACATAGGATTGACAGTAGTTGCAAATCAAAACTTTCTATCACACAAAGAACTAATAAAGTTTGAAACTGTAAAAATATATGTTTTTTCACATTTTTTTTTACTTGTTGTTTCACTGCCTATAATAAAGTTGATTCTGAGGTTGTTTTTCTACCATAACAGAAAAGCCTTGGAACAAACACAGTAGAGGTTGTACAGGATGTTGGTGAAGCCTCTTCTGGAGTTCTGTGTCCAGTTCTGGTTGCCTAGTTATAGGAAGGATATTATTAAGCTGAAGAGGGTTCAGAAAAGATTTACCAGGATGTTGCCAGGAATGGAAGGTGTGAGTTACAAGGTGAGGCTGGAACAGGCTGGGACATTTTTCACTGGAGCGTAAGAGGTTGAAGCGTGACTTTATAGCGGTTTATAAAATCATGAGAGGCATAGATAAGGTGAATGGCAAGCATCTTTTCCTTGGGGTGAGAGATTTCAAGAACTGGGGGCATATTTTGAAGGTGAGAGGAAGAAGATATGCAGGGCAACAGAGTGGTTCATGTGTTGAAGAAGAAGTGGTGGATGCCAGTACAGTTTCAACATTTAAAAGACATTTAGGTAAGTACATAGATAATAAATGTTTGAAGGGATACGGGCCAAGTGCAGGCAGGTGGGACTAGTTTAGTTTGGGAATATGGTTGGCAAGGACTGGTTGGACCAAAGGGTCTGTTTCTGTGCTGTATGACTCTATGACTCTATTCCCAGTGTGTTGCATGAACGTAACTTATGTATTTGAGCATATGTGATACACTGTCAGAAATATGAGAAGCTTGGACTCTCCCACATGACAACGAAATGAAACATAGAAACAAAAATATCTGGAGTTAAAAAAAATCCACAAACGTTTCTGTAAAATTTGCTTCAATTGTAAATGACTTTCTGGAGGAAATGTGTAGATTTATGCCAGTGAATTTGTGAACAAGGTTTTTTTTCTCTCTTAAAGGGTGGTTCAAATGTGGAATTCCCTTCCCCAGGCAAGCAGTAGAGGCTGGGCTTTTAAATTTGTTAAAGTTAGATAGACTTTTGTCAGAAAAGAGAGTCTATGGTAATGGGGCGTAGACAGGAAAGTGGAGCTGAGAACACAAACAGATCAACCACAACGTTATTGATTAGTGGAGCAGGCTCAAAGGGACAAATGGCCCACTGACGCTCTAATAGGACCAAATTATTGCAGATGCTGGAATCTGTACTGAAAGCAACAAATGCTGGAGATCATAGCAGGTCAGATAGCATCCATGGAGAGAGAGCAAGCTAACATTTCGAATCTGGATAACTCTTTTTCACCTCATGAAGAGCCATCTAGACTCAAAACATTAGCTTGCTCTCTCTCTATGGATGCTGCCTGACCTGCTGTGATCTCCAGCATTTGTTGTTTTCAGTACTGTTGCTCTAATGTTCTTTTGTTCATAAAGGTGGTCCTTTTCCTGATAAGACTGCAGTGTATATATATAGCAATCCCATGTGAAGTTCTGTCATGTTTCATGGACTATGTTGAAAGTCTTTATTTAGTCCTTCAGTAGATCCGAAAGGCTGTTTCTGGGCTTCGTGTTAATGTTTCCCTTCAATTAGAGAGGTGACGGCCCAGTGGTCTAATTCCTTGACTATTAATCCAGAAACTCAGCAAATGTTCTGGGGAGACGTGTTCGAATTCTGCCACAGCAGATGGTGGAGTTTGAATTCGATAGATCTCTGGAATTAAGAATCTAATGATAACTATGAAACTGTTGTCGATTGTCAGGGGCAGATCCATCTGGTTTACTGATATCCTTCAGGGAAGGAAACTGCCATCCTTACTTGGTCTGGCCTACATGTGACTCCAGACCCACAGCAATGTAGTTGACAATTAACTGCCCACTGGGCAATTAGGGATGTGTAATAAATGCTGGCCTAGCTAGTGATGCCCACATCCTGCGAAGGAATAATTAAAGTTAGTTTGTTTAGCTTTTCTTGGCAAACATGCATCTGGCTTTGACATGCTGTCCTGCCCAATTTACTTGAGCTCCTTCAGCAGAGCGTGGAAACTAAGTGTGTTGATCAGGGAGAGCATTTTCGTATTTGGAGCTTTGTCTTGCCAACTGAACTTGAGTAGTTTGCACAAACAGGGCGTGTGAAAGTGGTGAGGCCTTTTTGTATGCCTGAGGTAAATCTTCCACATCTCACAGAGTGCAAGAGAGTATAAAGGATTCTATAAATTTCCACATTTGTTGAAAGTCTCATTACTCTTCACTCCCAGACTGTTTATTGTAAGTTTTCAAAGGCAACACTGGCCTTACTTATTCTGGGACCGACTGTCACTAAGTGAACCACTCTGGACAGAGGACAGCTCAGGTAAGCAAATCTACTTCAGGCCTTTGACCATTGAACATGGCAGGTGTCTTCACAAACTGCTTTTAATGGACAGCTGGGTACTGTCTTTTTGGTGTTGATAGTGAGACCTAAGTTATCATTTGCAGAGGGAAATATTCCATGCTATTCTCCATTTCTTGTACTGAGCAAGCATTTAGAGCAAGGTCACTGGCAAAAAGAAAGATATGAAACATAACGTCGTTCACTTTGACCTTAGCTTCTAATCACCGCAAGTTGAAGATGTTCATTTTTGTGATATCTAATGTACACATTTCAGTAACACAGAATACTTCAGAAACATGGCAGAGAGACCAAGGTAGGTACACTCACAGCCCCAGTGCATTTCATTTGTGTTTGGGAAGGCATCAGGACACAAGCTGACACACTGTTATACAGAGATAGTGGGAACTGTTGGAGAATCTGAGGTAACAAGGTGTAGAGCTGGATGAACACAGCAGGCGAAGTAGCATCAGAGGAGCAGGAAAGCTGACATTTCTGGTCTGGACCCTTCTTCATCGACCCTTCTGAAGAAGGGTTCAGACCCGAAACAGCAACTTTCCTGCTCCTCTGATGCTGCTTGGCCTGCTGTGTTCATCCAGCTCTACACCTTGTTATCTCACACTGTTGTACCGCTGCCTTACCAGAACAATGAACTTTTCTAGACATCCCAAATCTGTCATGATCTTCCATTGGCCCTCATGATATAAACAAAGGAACATGGGAACAGGAGTAGGCTATTCACCCCATCGAGCCTGCTTCAATATGATCATTGCCAATCTTCCACTGCAATGATATTTTCCCACACTATCCGTGTATCTCTTTACATGGCTGGTGTTTAGAAACCTGTCAATACATGTGCTGAATAAGTGAGTTTTTTTATTCATTCATTGGACGTGGGTATCACAGATTGGGCCAACATTTGTAGTCCATCCCTAATTGCCCAAAGGCAGTTAGAAGTCTCAAGCACATTGCTGTGGGTCTGGAGTCCCATGTAGGCCAGACCAGGTAAGGTTCCTTCCCTAAAAGATATTAGTCAACCAGATAGGCTTGTCTTGACAATCAACACCAGTTTCCTGACCACCATTAAACTCTTAATTCCCAGAAGATTACCTGGGTCTCTGGATCAATAAGGCTAGTGATAATACCTCAAGGCCATTGCCTCCTTAGTTACCTTGTTCAAACAGTGACTAGAAAAGTATGCCTCATCTCAGGCCTAAGTGGCTTCCCTCTTAGTTTGAAATTATGTCCCTAGTTATGGACCACATCCCTTCTCCCCAGCCAGGATCTGTATCTATTCCTTTAAATATATTGTAGGTGTCAATGAGATAACCCTTCATTCTTCAAAACCATACTGAGAATGCAGATCTGCTTTCCTCATTCTCCTTTTAAAGGACAGTCCTGTCACTCCAGGAAAAATCTGGTGAACGCTTCATTGCATTTCCTCTTTTGCAATAATATCCTTTCTAAGGTATGGCAACTAAAGCTACACACAGGACACCGGGTGCAGTTTAACCAAGATTCTGTACAACTGAAGCAAGACTTCACTACTCCTGTATTCAAATCCTCTTGCCAGTGGCTAACATACTGTTAGCCTTCCTTAATTGCTTCCTGCATCTGCACG